TTATCGTTTTATTCCAAAAATTTGGTAATTTCCTTCTTGGTCTCATCTCTGACCTATCATTCAGCATAAGGTTATTTAGCTTCCATGTTTTTGTATGAGTCTGCAGATTCCTGTTGTTACTAAGTTCAACTTTTATTCCATGATGGTCTGAGAAGATACAAGGAATAAATTCTATTCTTTTAAATTTGCTGAGGTTAGACTTGTAACCTAAAATGTGGTTGATTTTGGAGTATGTTCTGTGGGCTGATGAGAAAAATGTGTATATAGTTTTGTTAGGATGAAATGTTCTGTAGATGTCCACTAAATCCAAATGCTGAATGGTTAAGTTTAAATCTAAAATTTCTTTGCTAAGCTTCTTGTTGGAGGATCTATCCAACACTGCCAGAGGAGTATTAAAATCTCAACTATGATGGAGCTGGGAGAAATCAAGTTGCTCATGTCTATTAGAGTATCTTTTATAAATTGAGGTACGTTCTGGTGGGGTGCATAAATATTGATGATTGAAATCTCATCATATTGAGTATTACCCTTAACAAATATAAAGTGTCCATCTTTATCCTTGATTACTTTTGTTGGTTTAAAACCTATTGTATTTGTGAATAAAGTTGCAACACCTGCTTTTTTCTGCTTTCCATTTGCCTGGAATATAGATGACCATCCCTTCACCCTGAGTCTATATTTGTCTTTTAGGGTTAGATGGGATTCTTGTATGCAGCACATATCTGGCCTGAGTTTTTGTATCCAGTCAGCCAGCTTGTGCCTCTTTACAGGATAATAAGCCATTCACATTGATTGAGACTATTGATAAACCTGGTTTAATTTTGGGTATTGAGTTTTTCAAAAGTCCAATGGACATCTTTAAGACTTTTGCCACTGTGGAAGTTGGAATTTGATCAAAATTTTCTGTGTGAGTTTGATCAAAATTTTCTGTGTGAGTTTACTTACGTGGTGGAGGATTGCTCTGGTCATTATGGAGGATAGGTCTAAGAATATCCTAGAGGGCTGGTTTAGTTATAGCAAATTTCTTCAACATGTGAATGTCATTAAAGTACTTAATTTCTTCATCATAAATGAAACTCCGTTTAGCTGGATACAGGATCCTGGGTTGAAAGTTATTTTGTTTTAGGAGGGTAAAAGTCAATGACCACCCTCTTCTAGTCTGAAAGGTTTCAGCAGAGATATCTACAGTCATTCTAATATTCTTTCCCTTGTAGGTAGGTTATGGTTTTCTTATGTCTAGCTGCTTTCAGAATTTTGTCTTTCATATTAACTTTAGTGAAGTTAATTATGATGTGCCTGGGGGATGTCTTGTTTGGGTTGAATCATGCTGGGGTTCTGAAACTGTCTGCTGTCTGAATTTCAGAATCTCTTTGCATGTCTGGAAAGTTCTCTTTCATAATTTCATGAAGTAGAGCCTTTATGCTTTGTGCAGCCACTTCGTTGCCTTCAGGGATTCCTATAAGATGAATATTAGTTTTCTTTGCATTATCCCAGAGCTCTCTGAGAGAGTGACCTGTTTTTGCTCTCCATTTCTCTTCATCCTTGTGTGTTTGGGCACACTCAGAAGCTTTGTCTTCAATGTCAGAGATCCTTTCTTCTGCCTGCTCCATTCTGTTACCGAAGGATTCTACCATATTTTTCAGATCTTTGAGGGCTGCAACCTCTTGCCTCAGGGTTTCAAAATCTTTGGTCATTTTATCTTTGAAATTGTTGAATTCTTGAGACACCTTTTGAATAATTTCTTTAAATTCTAATTCCCTCTTCCATTCTGTTAATCTTATTTGCTATCCAAATTCTGAACTCAATTTCTGACATCTCAGCTATCTGTTTATTGATGGGATCTTCAATTGCATCTGTCCCATCCTTCCTTGGGGGAGTTGATCTACTCTGGTTATTCAAATTACCAGAGTTTTTCCACTGATTCCACCCCATGCTGAATTTACACTGTGTGGAGACTGTACCAGAACTGTTTAGTCAGTGGCCTCCACCAGAGAAGATGCCAGCTTCCTCTGGTTGCCCAGAGAGGCAGAGTGTGTGTGTCCAGAAAAGCCTCAGGGGTGTGAGCCTTATTGTTCCCACTACTGTGGCTGCTGTTCTTCACCTCGGGGTACCATTGTTCTAGTATGGTTCCCTCTCAACTGACCGTCCTCTCATAGTTCTCGTGCATCTGGCTGGAGGTGCCGGGAGCATACAGATGTGTCACTTCTGGGCCCACCCAGCGTGGGTGCCTGGAGCGGGGAACTCTTCTGCCTCTACCCGCAGGACACATGCTGCTCTAGCAAGCAGTTCTGGGCCCCCCTGGGGCGGAGGCTCTGGGCACTTGCAAGCAGATCTGGGCCCCATCAGTGTGGGAGCCTGGAGAGGGGAACTCCTCTGCCGCTGCCTGCAGACCACTGGCACCATTATTAAAAGTTACAAATTACCTTCTTCTCACCAGTTCCAGTGGCCTTTTGATTTGTCTCATGATGTTTTCACTTTGTAGCCCGAGTTGGGACTTAGAAGCTATTTTGCATTGTGCTCTGCCTAGCTCTCTACTTTCTGAAGGCTGGGACTGTATGTCCAACACTAAAACTTTGACATTAGAGTACATAGCACCAAGCGTTTATTTCTTCCTCTTTGTGACAATATTCTGAAAGTCATTTTTAAACTATGACAGAAGTTTACCCATATTAAGGAACTCTAAAGTACCGTGCTTGCTTCAGCAGAATGTATACTGAAATTGGAATGATACAGAGAGCATGAGCATAGCCTCTGAGCAAGGGTGACATGCAAATCATGAAGTGTATCATATATTTTAAAAAATTCTTATATATAAACAGAGTAATGTGTAGAGGTATCTTTTTCAATTTTTCCTTCCTATTCTTCAAAGATGAATTGTTTAAAATTTTGACCTTGTCTTGTATTGTTAAAAATAACGAATATTTTTAATTATAAAAGAAATTCAGACTTGTGATTTTTAAAAACTTAAAACTTTCCAGTTATACAGAAGAATAAATACAAAATTAAAATCTCTCTAAGTCCTACTTTTCAGAGGAAACCACTCATGAAAGTTTACTATTGTAAAACATCCAGAAGTTTTCTTTGTGCATAAGCTTTTCATGTTTTGTTTCTGGCAGGAATAGAATCCTGGCAAACTCCCATCCTGATGGCCTCCAGGTGTTCCCAGACTTCTGCTGCCTTTCCCACTGTCACCAGTTCTTTTTTTCTCATTTTAACCAATCTCACTTTCTCCTTCTCCTGGGAACTAATCAATCTTTTCCTTTTTTTTTTTTTCTTCAGGTTCTCTCTTTCTCCAAACAGCAATCTGGCATTTATCTGGCATTTCTGTTCTCTCTCTGAATATTTTCATCCTCGGAGAGTTTATTTATTCTCTAGATTGACCAACATTTTCTCTCATTCTGTTCTCCTACTCACATACCCTTCTTTGGGGGGTTTGTCAACCCAAATGCACTGAATCCTACTCACATCCACTACTCTGATAAAATCACATTTGAAAGTTCCTGAGACATCATAGAACTTCTCTTGGCCCCCGTTCCTATGGGCTTCTAGGTATCCCTAACTCTCCTACCTTTCTGTTCCTGGCTTCAGAGATGTTGCAAAATTCTAGTGCTTATTCTACCTTTAACATTGGTGCCTCCCCTGCCCTATTGCTGCCCTGTGGGGTCTCCAGTTCTCTCTCTTTCTGTGTAAACCTTCCTTTCCACCCTAAATTCCTTCAGCTCTCACAACCTCAAACATCACCTTGCTCTACCTGTTCAACATGAACTAGCCTCTTTCAAACTCCAGTTCCACATTTCTGACTATCTGCTGGTCATATTCACAATTTTACTTGAGTGTTAACATGTCAAAACTTAAACCATTCCCTCTTCCTGACTTCCTGACTTCTGTTAATGGTGCTGCTGCTCTTTTGGTCAACCAGATAACATATCAGAGGTTTTCTGTCTAGCCCCTCTTGGGTCCTACCATTTGTTTGTCCCTTGAATTCCACTGCCACATGTGTTTGCCTCTTTCTCCCATCTACTCCCATCTGTTCCCTGCTTCTCAGTGGCACTTTAATAGCCTTCAGATCGTTTTATCTTCGCCCCTGACTTTGTTGTTTGGGTACCCATAGATGGCCAGGTTAAGTCTTCCCTGAAGAGTGACTCTCTAATCATGACACTTCCCTGCTCAAAACTCTTCTGTGACAAGCCACTGCCTGTGAGTAAAAGACAGATTCTTCAACATGATTTTGGAAATCTCTACAACAGCAGTTCTCAAATGTTTCTGGTTTTGGATCCTTTTTCAATCTTAAAAGTTATTGAGGAGCCCAAGGAGCTTTTATTTGTATGAACTATACCTATCACTGTCTAAAAGTCTTGACTGCATTAAAGTCAAGACTGAGGACACTTTGAAAATATGTATTTATATATTTTAAAATAACATGAAAAAACCCATTATATGTTAATATAAATCCTGTCCTTTATGAAAGAATAATTTACCTTTCAAAACACAAAAATTAGTGAGGAGAGTAGCACTGTTTGACATCTTTGCAAGTCTCTTTAATGCCTGACTCATATCTGTTTCTGAATTCAGTCTATTATGAGTGAATCACACTATGTAGCCTCTGGAAAATTTCGTTGTATATTTATAAGAGAAGGAAAGTGAAAGGCAAATAATGTCTCAGTACCGTGTTTCCCCGAAAATAAGACCTACTCTGATAATAAGACCTAGTGATGGGCATGGCTATGCATTTTGCTGCAGAGATGGAAGACATCCCCTGAAAATAAGCCCTAGTGTGTCTTCTTGAGAAAAAATAAATATAATACAGTGTCTTATTTTTGGGGAAACATGGTATTACTGGGGAAATAGTTTTCACCTCATGGACCTTTGAAAGCATCCCAAGTCCCCAGACCACACATTGGGAACCACCTCTATGTCCTTCTCCCTCACTGTTCTTCTGAACCAAACCTCATACTCCAGTTAAACCAGACTGTTATCACCTGAGCATATCTGCATTTTCATCTCTAGTCTCTGAAATAAGTATCTCAATCAAACTATTTTATATGTACATTGGGAGCATCATATTGTTGGCTGAAGGTAAAAGGAAAAAAAAAACAATAAGATTTTTCCTCTGATTTACTATGAAGCCCTCTAAACTGGCAATCAAGGAACTTAAGTGCTAGTGACAATTCTGTAACTAACACTTTGTGTCACCTTGGACAAGTCACTTAACATCTTGGTTCTCAGTTCTTGCCTTTATAAGCAGAGGAAATTAGATGAGGTGATCTCTGGGAGTTGTTCCAGGTCTGAAATCATGGAGTTGGAGTTAAATTACATGAAGTCTATTCTGATGAAGCAGAGATTCCTATCACTTCCAATCTTTTGTACACATCTCTCTCTTTCTGAGGTAACCACAACTGCTGTCTTTTTGTGAGTGCATACAAAAATCAGATTCTTTGTGTTTGCAGTTTCCAATGACTGTCTTGAAGAACTTCATAAAAGAATCCACTGGAGCTTTGTTAAGTTGCTGGAGTTGGTAATTAAATTTGGAATAAATCTCTAATACTTCACAATTTTAACATATTTTTAAAATTTTATGAAATTTACAATATTTTGGACCATTAAAAATTCCTTTTATGTTCTCCTTTTCCTCTTCTTTCCTCTTTTTTAGAAACTCCAATTATATATTATCACATACTCAATGATGCACTGTGGCGTTTTGTGTTTTGTTTTTTCTCTGTTTCATTTTGAATACTTTCCACTGCTATGTTTTCAAGTTTCTCGCCTTTTTTTTTTTACAGTGTCAATACTTCTGCTGATCTTATTGAGTATATTTTTTTATTTCATACTGAGTGTGTTTTTCATTTCCATCATTGCATCTTTCACCTCTACCAGTTTTATTTGGGTCATTTAAAAAAGTCTCCTTCATATAACTTCTTAACAAGCTCATATTTCCCTCTGCCTTCTTGGACATATGGAGTCTATCTGTGGTGGCTGCTTTAACATCCTTACTAAGCATCTATTTCTATAATTCAATTCATGGGGTCAATTCTTATTGACTGATTTTTTTCTTCTCATTCTAGATCATATTTTCTTCTTCTTTGACATGTTTTTCTGTTTTATATGCCTGCAATTTTGATTGGATGCCAGACAGTGTGAATCTCATACAGTGTCTTTATTTCTTTATTCCTTTCCATGTTCCCAATACTTTGTTCTGGGATGCAGGTAAGCTACTTGCAAACAGTGATATCCTTTCAAAACGTGCCTTTAAGCTTGTTTAGGTGGGAATAGAGCAGCCCTCAGTCTAGGACTAACTTGGCCCCATTACTGAGGCAATGCCTGTCTGAGTACTCTGTTGCCCTGTATAGTACAGATTTTTCCGTTCTGACTGTAGTAGCCCTGTGTGATCTCTGGGGATCATTCCCCCTGTTCCTTTCTGGCTCTCAGCATATGCATGCACTAATCAATAATTAGCTGAAGATGCAAGGGGAACCCTTGCAGCTATCTAGAGCATTCTCTGTGCAGGTTTTTCTTCTCTCTCCAACAATCTTTCTGGTAGTTGGCCCTAATTCTAGCCTCCTTGGCCTCCCTGAATTGTTAACTCTGTCTTAACTCTGGGAGCCTTGAGGCTCTTTTGGATTTCTTCTCTCTGCACTGTAGCCTGGACACTTTCTTTAGGGACGATTCTGGGGATTACTTTGTTAATTTCCATTCTGTTAGGGATTGCTGTGCTGTGCTGCCTGATGTTCTATGATCTGAAAACTATCGTTGCATGTCTTACATCAACTTTTAGTGAAGTTAAAAATTTGTCTTATTCACAATCAGTCTTTGATCAATCTGGAATAGATCTTCCTTTTCAGTGCTTTATAGGAGGTGTTATGAACTGAATCGTGTTCCCCCCAAATGTGTAGGTTGAGGCCCTACCCCACAATGTGACTGTATTTGGAGACAGAGCCTTTAAAAAGAGGTAATAAGGTTAAACACGGTCATTGGGGTGGGGCTCTGATCCAGTAGGACTTGAGCCTTATAAGAAGAGAGAGAGAGAGACACCAGGGTCAGGTGTGTACAGAGGAAAGGCCTTGTAAGGATACAGGCAAACCTTGGAGGGAAGCCTCACGGGAAACCAATTCTTCCAGGACCTTGATCTTGGACTTCCAGCTTCTGGAACTGTGAGAAAATAAATATCTGTTGCTTAAGCCATTCAGTCTACAGTGTTTTGTTATGGTAGCCCTAGAAGACTTATACAGAGGGGACCCAGCTTCATTCATAGGCAACCAGTTACCCTCACGTGTTGACTGTCTCATCTTTTCCACACAGAACTGCAATTTAACCTCTAGCATATATTGAATGTCTGATTTGTGAGCTCTCTCTTCTGTTCCACTGATCAAGTTGTCTATTTATGCAGCAAGATAATACTACCTTAATAATTAGAATTCTAAAATATTCTAACATTTAGTAGGCAAGTACATCTACCTTAAGCCTCTTCATCAGGAGCATTGGTGATTCCTGGCACATTCCTTTTCTGAAATAGTTTAGAATCATTTTGTCAAGACACTGCTGGGATTTTAATTATGCTTAATCGACTAGCTTGATTTGGGGAGTATTGATGTATTTACAGTATTGAGTCTTCCTTTTCACGAATATGGTATCTTTCTCTACTGAGTTCTTCTTTAAAATATTTTAATAACATTTGAAGTTTATCCATAAGGTTTGGCATGTTTTTGTGAGATTTGTACATTTTTGTTGTCATAATTGTAAATGGATACTTTGAGTCCATTTGCTCTTTGTGGGGGGCACACATCAGCCAGCCACTTTG